TAATTTTGAGGAGGGGGAGTCTTTTTGTGGGATTTCACAATTTCTTTGATAAACAAAAGTATTGCTTTCTTTTTTACAGTCAGAGTTTTAAAACCTATCATGAGAAATATTGAATTGTTCATTAAAGTAAATATATAATGTAAGTTAATATTAAAACCCTTCAAGTTCTGAGGCATGAAACTGCTGGCCTACCCATATTGGTATCTGTCAGACTGAGCTTGCTCAAATATTTAAACACTAGACATTAAAACAAATAACCAACCACAGTACCCACATAAACTTCCTCGCTGTAAGACTTCTATAACCCTATCTGCAACTTTCAACATCCCTATTTTCATGTTTTAATATGTAAATTATATAGTTCAGTCATGTGTTTTCAATTGGGCAGAATGACAATGTGAAAGTTGGCATTCATTTCCACGACTGAAGGTGTAGAAATGGGGTCACAAATGGGTACAATGACAGAAGTTAATGTTGCTGCACTCTATCCTGCCTGGTAGCCTACTGTACATCTTTGGGGGAACATAAGGAAAAACTCAAAAGGTCTTAGTTTTTCTGGTTTTAGTAAAAGGCAACTGAGTGTAGTGGGGTTAACACCAAAAGAGTGTTCCTGAACAGGAATTATGGGGATTGTGAAGCTGATCTCTTTTGTAAGCTGTTGGATACCTGCTCATAAGAGACACTATCAATGTAAACAACTTGTAATAGAGCTTTTTTTCCTCTCTGTTTCCATGCCCGGTAAGCTCTGAAATAGCTCATAATAAGCACAAGAAAAAGTGTAACCAAATAAAATAAAACAAATAAGAGGTGGGAACTGAAACACTTCAGAGGTCTGGCTAGTTTTACACTTATGGAAATCTAGAGAGACTGCAGAAACAGTGGCTGTAAATTCAGATCCAAGCATTTTATTTTACCTCTGTGTGTGCTGGGCAAAGTTCAGTCCATTTGTATCTATCAGTTAATGTTTTACACAAAGAGGGCACCTTTAATGCTTTTAACAGTTCTCTAATTAAGATATTAAGGCATTGGCAGATCTAAATTGTGCCACTTAGTCAAACATGAGCACAAGGACACATGAGGTGTCATCAGGTTCTTGAGATAGTTCTGTTCTTTTCTGTGTGAACTTGGGGCTCAATTTGACCATCAATAACCCCAGCTTGATAAATGTTCTAATGGGGCCCACTCATCCCCTTCTTCATAGCAGTCAAAGTTCTGCTCTGAAAGGCAATAACAAAGGAGAAATAGCTGGGAAAGAGGCAGGGATTGAGGCATCAACTGTGGCAGTGAGGAAAGGCCAGCTATGAGCCTAAAGGCAATGCCAGACACTTCCAAGGGGACAGTTCCTATGAGAAGATCATCAGGGACTTATCCAGATGACTTATCCAGGTAACCATATACATCTTATAAACAGAAATTATGTTCAAACCAACAGCTCCTGAACATAATCCTACTTATCTTTATCCTGACCCCATCATGCCAGGCATGAACATCTAATTTAATTATTGCACCCTGCACAGATAAGAATTGTTTTCCCTGTTTTTATAAACAAGATAACATCAAAATTGCAACTTGGCAGGGATCACTGGTAAGTTCAGTGTGTTGCCTCATGGAAAATTAGACAGTAGAAGCAACAACAAGACCAAACCCTTTGCAGTCAGCAATAACTGGGTCTCACCATCAGGATAGGCAACACAGGAGAGCAGCAAGGAAGGAAGTGGGGTTGTGATCCACCTTCTTAAACTAATTGGCAAACGAGCACTTTTAAAGCCAGCTGAAGAGATGGAAGTTGTAGGTGTAGAGCCTGCTCAGGACTCAGTACTACCTGCCTATCAGGGTAACAATGCTCTTCCCACTGCAGAAGTTTACATGACACAGTAGAATGGGCTACTCATAATCTTGTATCAAGTTCATAATACCTGAAAATAATATTTTTCTACCTCAAAGTAATAGAAATCAGTTTTCCATTTTTCTGCTTATTCAATTAATAGAACACAGTGATGCTTAGAATTCTGATAAAAATCTGTATGTTACATTCAGTAATGTTCAGGAATGTAAAGATGGTAATATACTCCCATAGAAAGTAAATTTACTTGCTCTTCCTCACGGCAAATTAACAACAGCCAAAATGAACAGGGGTGTGATTTATTCCTTCTCTTTGGCAGCTCTTCACTTCCTTAATTCTTCAAATCTAGCACTTTCTGGTCTCTATTATGGATTGTCAAGCTATTCTGCAGTGCTGCAGTTTGAATCACAGAACATTCTCAGGCTGTCATGATGCAGCTGTGATCTGTGATCTGTGATCTGTGATCTGCACCGGGGTACAGATCAGGACTATTCCAAAGTCAATGACTTCTGGCATAAGAAAGCTGTTTTTTTAAAAAAATGTCTTTCTGTTGAAGAAGAATGCAAAAGACTTGTTTCCCACAGGAAGGTAAGTACAAGGAGCACTGTTTACATCAAGTGAGTTCTCACTTATGAAAGAAAAGGGTTTTTGGAAGTTTCTCTCTTCCTGAAGACCCTAGCTGCTAATTTTGATGCTTTAAAAGCAGTATTTTCTTTTCATGTAAATGCTTTTCTCATTCTTGTGGTAAACAGAATAAACTGACAGAATGCTTTCCTGGCACTAAAGTATAAAAAGTCAACAAACTGCCAAAGAGGGAAATTGTCTTTCTTCCACTCTCCATCTGCTGCAGGCAGCTGAAGAGTAACTTATAGCAACCGTAGATTAGGAAAAAAATGCACATTGCTATAGAAATTGCCAACAGTAGACTCACTTGGAGAGCTTGGCTTTATTTGTAGACATTTCCAAACATTATTTGTTCTTTTTCAGGGCCTATTTCAAAATCCATCAAAGCCAGAGACAGGACTTCCATTAATTTCAATGCCTTTGGAGGAGATTCACAGGGGAGAGCCTGTGGCACCCTCAGCCCTGGCATTTTTAGTGTGTTCATGTAGTCAGATTTCCAGTAGCAGAGAAAGAACTGGATAATGCTACAGACCACATTCATCACAAAAGTGAGCTCCTAGTGGAAATGTCTGTATTTAAGTGCAGTCTCCTTCACCATGCCTGTGCTTTCAGAAACAGGCTGTGTTTCTCATATCTAGAATGACAAAGTGGCAGGGCTGGATGCCAGCTGCTGTGAAGCCTGGCAAGTCAGCAGGGCCCAAGGAGAAGCAGGGAGTCTGGAGAAAGCATCATGCAAACATACAGTGGCCAATTAACTGAAGAGCAGCTGCCCTCAGCTCTGACCGCTGCAACAGCTTGAATATAAAACAGTTGGACTGGGCATTCCCAAACTGAAGCCTGTGAAGTTTTGTATGGGGCCTGAAAAGGACTCCTAATTTGCAGACACCCCCAACAGAAGCAGCTGATAATAGCAGTTACACAGTGTCATCCGGGAAGGGAATGTGTGTCAGGGCCAATTAGCTAATTAGAATATGGATTGGCCTTCTCCAGAGCTGGGAAATCCAGTCTCAATATTCATATCTTAGCTGCTCCATGAACTCTCCCTATTAATCAGACAGAATTTCATGTGGGATCTGCTCCAGGGCTTTCATAGCTGAACTCTTGATTTACAGGTGTGTTGAGAAGGAAGACATCCAGCATAGTGTACTTTCTTCTCCTTTCCTCTCACCCCCCAGAATTTTCCTACCCATTAAACACTTTCCAATTAACTTTATCTTGAAAACCTGATAACAGTCTTGCTTTTTCCAGCTGAGCAAGACAGCCATAAAACAGAGGTCCAGAAAGGGATTGAAGTTCATTCTTAGATGTTGACTGAATGCAGAGCATGTACTCGACCTTGGCAGAAAGCTTTGGAGCTGGACTGGCACACTGCAGGGATGGGCACTGCCTTCAGCCCAGCAGTGCAGGGATGGGCATTTCTGCAGTGCAGGAATCCATCAAACACTGCTGATTCCTCTGTGCTGTGGTAACTGGCTCACTGATCCATGTCTAAATATAAGTGCATGTTCCTTCAGCTTTGGGTTATGGTGGTATAAATTAATAATAATGGCATCAAACCCAATGGAGTTAATGCCAAGGACAGGAGGATCACAATAGCTAAAATCCTTATCTGTACTGTGCTTCTACCAAGTTGGTGTTTTGTAAACCTGATGGATATCGTTTATAAGGAAGCTGAAATGCATTTAGATATTTCAGCTCCTAAATGTTGCTGGGCTTGCTTCCCAAAGTCCATCAGCAGCCTTTGGAATATGCAAATAGGGCTCTCAAGTAGTTCTGATGACTAAGGCAATATTTTCATCTTTCCTAAATCATTAGATTAAGTTATGACCTTCTCTTCTGCCTCCCAGCAGGTATAAATGCTGTATCTCCTAATAGTTAAGCAGCTTATCTTTTAAGGGATGATGGAAGCATTTCACTTGGTGTTTGAAATTCTAAGAAGATACAACAGTTCAAATGAAGCTTACTTGGAACAGCTGAGATGAATCTGCACATACGTAAACAGGAGGACAGGATAGATATGATACAATAATTACAGACATTGCATTAGCATCTTAAAGAAGCACCTCAAACAATAATTATTAAAAATAAAGTGATCCAGACCAATTAAATGTATCTAGAGAAGCAGTGTGTTTTCCAATCTCATACTCCTTATGTTTCTCATGTTTTTTATTCTCACTATTGTATCTCTTTGCTGTTGTAAAGAGCTCCCAGCTTCAACATTCACACAATGAAGCCTTTGATGTAGGAGCTTTATCTCACTTTTCCACGTGTTCAACAGTAGCATATATCAACTTTATCTTTTCTGCTCATGAGGAAAGCAATGATTTAATGTCTTCTCCTCAAACTTATCTCACATGGGATGTGACATTTGTACAATAGAGCTCACAAGGGCCAGTACAGGAGCTTAGCATCATCTCAACACGCCCCAGATGCAATCACAATTATATATTAGAAGTTCTGTTCTGTTCCATCTCTATTGCTGCTGTTGTGGCAAGCAGCAAAGAGGAAGGAGAATGCTGATGACACGACAAGGATGACATCTCAAGCTTTTGAAGAAGGCAGCAAAAAGAGTGGTGCCCTGGAAAGCAAGACGAGTGCAACACACGGCACTGAGCTGAGAATGTGGCTGGGGATCACAGTTCTGATGTCTCTTGCTGTGTGCATGGCTGTGGAGGAAGCAACTGATGAAGAAATACCTTGTTCAAAGTACCAGCAAGCTTTCAACCATTCATGCTACGAGTTTGTTAGACTCCAGCAAACCTTCACAAGTGCCCAGAGCTGGTGTGAGAGAGGAGGAGGGCATCTTGTCTTTATTCAAAATGAAGACACTCAAGAGTTCTTGCAAAAACATATTGCTGAGGATCAGGAATGGTGGATAGGACTGATCTCAAACTCCTTGCTGAATGAAACTGCTGATGGTAGGTGGTTTTAAAACAGTGTCTTTAAAATTGTGTCAGCTCATGATGCTTTCTTTACATGGTAAAAATGCAGTGCCTTTGTAGATATCTGCTGAAAAGCCTCTGTCTTTTATTGCTGTATCTTCACATTTATATTAAGATGATTAATTGTCTGCTTCACTTCCTTGTTGCATGTTATCACCCTTTCCATTGGATCTTGTGGTTGTGTGAACACATGGTGAATGAGACCAGCTTGCTGACCCAGTGAAACAAATGTGCAGTGTTAAGTCTCCACTGGAAGCCAATTCATCCCACTAGGAAGTGCTGCAAGGTCTGATGCAAGGGAAATGGTGAAATCTTGAGGCTGGGAGCACAAGTGGAAGTGGCAGTGTCTCTTTTCATGATTGTATCAGGTTCAATATAAAATGTAATTGAATATCCTTACCCAGACTAAACCATCTCTGCTTCAGTAGGAGCAGGGCTACAGTACTGTTCTGCAGACTCTGACTCTAATTGTATTACTGTGGAAAATAAACATTCAGGACACAATTTCTCTGTTCACAGGATCAATAACTTGGCTGGACACTTCAAATATAAGCTACAGTAACTGGTACAAGGATCAGCCATCTCCCTTCTCATCCACATGTGGGTACATCCTGAAGAATGCCAAGTATCAGTGGGGTGTGACTGAAAATTGCAGCCAAGAATTTGACTTCATTTGTGAGTTCGGTAAGATACACAGCAGCTGGAACAGTGAAGTGAGTGTGCCATGACTACAATGGGGTATAAATTGCCTTGTTGCTTCAAAGTAGCTAGGAAATAACTTAATGAATCTTACTAAATGTGAACAAGCAAAAAGCCATATAACCCCAGCAGGTGCTCTTTTTCCAGTGTGCTGATGTAAGACCTTATCCAAAGAAGGAAGAACCCACAAATCACTGGGAGATGTAGATGCTCAGCAACCAGACATTAAGGCCCAGGGTTCCAGCAGAGGGTTGATAAAATAGAAATGGATCTGAGAGTGAATCTAATGTGTAGCTGTCCACATCTACAGTGGACATAAGCTGGCTATGTCAAAGCACAGCTACAAGAATAAACTCCCACATAATACCTGGGCTAGGTGGGACATGTATGGATGCCCTGTAAAAACACTCACTAATGTGTGTCAGAAAAATTTCCATTTGTAACTGCAGCAAAAATACAGTCAGGCTTCCAGAGGCACCACTCCTTGCATCCTGGAGTAAGCAAACTAAGAGCAAGTTTTTCTTGTTTCTTCTCAGACCCCTCCATCACGTGAAGTTTAAGGTTTTCCCCAGGTTAAGGAAGCAGACAGGAACCTGTACTTCCTGTGCTCAGACAGAAAATCCACAGACATTGTGTCCCACAAATGGTGACTTGGAACAAACAGTTCTGGAAAGGAATGCTGGTAACATCAATCCTTTCAACATATAGATATGAGGGGAATTTGTGTTCCTCACGCTTTGCACAAGAGTGCTTTAAACTGCAGCTAGAACTGGGGTCACAAGCACTGTGGAAGGACAGTCTGGCTGTGGGCTCACTAATATAAAAAGGCTTCCAATCAAGTATGCAAGTGCAGGTTTCCACAAGCCCTAGAACTGCTACTGCCCTGTCCAGCAGTCACTGACATAAATAAGTTGTTCTGCAACTAGCAAAGCTAATAAAATTTTGTTTCCGATCCTGATTTTCTGTTCTACATCCCCTCCCTGCCCTCCTTCTCAGCACTCCCATATCCCCAGCATGTTCCACCTCTGCAAATATTTTCACTCCCTCAGCTCCCTCCCCTGCAGCTCTTCCAGAGCTCCAGCTGTATGTGCTGGCCACTTGAATTCCACGTCCCAGAATAAGTAAACATAGGGTTATAATTCCTACTCCTCACAAAGGCATCGATGTAGCTCTTTCTCTTCTCCCTAGATATTGCATTTCATGAAATTTTAGGGTGTTGGAGGTTTATATCTATCTATCAAATTTAGTTGACGATGACTAACATTAAAAATGACTGGGGGAAACTGGCAGACAGCACAATCCCTTGAGCTTATTTTCCTTGCAAAAACAGACTAAAATTATTTTTCCATTACAACCACGGTAGACAACTGTCTGTTTGTAAGGAAACTATCATCTGTTATCATAGGATATGACTGAGATCCCATGAAATTCCAAGAGCAACAATATCCTATGCTACATTCATCATTCCACTACCCAGGAAACCAAAGACCAGATCAAGGCAATTCTACCATTTGGTGCTCTGTAGGCTAGCAGTTTATTATAGCAAATATGTATGTAGCTGACCAGGGTTCATACCTAGAAACACAGACCAAGTTTTGTACATCTTTCCATATAAAAGTTGCTGAGACAGCAAATACTGCGAGAAATCTTCATACAGAGAACAAAAAAGGGCATGAGATAATAGCCCATACTAGAATTTACCAGCAAGTTATTTTTCAAGCTTGTTCAGAGAGCTCTAGTCTACAAACTGATCATGTTGCTATAGTTACAGCCAGGCTTAGCTTTAGCCCTTAAATAACAATAGCACACAATTATTGCAGTGTGCACACACTGGCACTGTTAATCAAGGGACTTGATGGGAATGATCCAAACAACAACGGGAGGACAATGTATTTAAAACCGGGACTGCTGAAACAAAAACATCCTTTTGCAACACTCCCATATGAGAGCAGTTATTCACATCCCCCTCTTCAGGGTATTAAGTATCCTGATTACTACACTCTACGAAGAATTCTGAAAGATAATTAACTGTCCCAGATTAATCAAAGAATGAGGTGTATGCATTTAGAGCTATGACCTTACCCATCTTAGCAGTCCTAGTGAATGAAGTCAGTCAAATATCACATAGGAACAAAGGAGTCTCTGTTGCAGAAATGGGATCAGCTCCATACTTAATATGCAAACTATTCTCCAAAGCAATTACCTGAATATTATGCAATCCATACATCTCTTTCGGAAGGAAGGAGTAACTTTAAACCTTCCAGTATTTTAGGTCAAAAAAAGGCTAAGAGTTTTCCACAAAAATACTATTTATTTTTATAATTAAAATGTTTTATGCTTATTGAAAATTTCCTCAATATTTTAAGGCAGTAAAAACACTAATCTAGTAATTTTGACTTTTTAAAAAGAAAAATATGTAATTCTTTTGTAATTTTCTTAAGTATCCTTAATTGTTTAGCTTAGAAGGGAGAAAAGGGAAGATAAACAAAACAAAATGGACACGCAGTAGAATTGTAGCAGGATTTTTCAGAAATTCAAAAAGGCAATATTTGGGTTTTTTTCTCCTGTTAGAATCTGGCCAGAGCATTGCTTGTGATAATTACAATGCCACTGTACAGTGTGGATCAGGAGAAGTTATTCAAATTGAAGAGAGCTTCTACGGGAGGAAGACCCCTCACTACTGTGTGTCAGAGACTCCTCTCCAGCTGGAAACAGATGAAGGCTGCAGCTGGATCAGTGTCAAGGATGAAGTAGCAGGTGGTATCTTACAGCATTGCTTGTCAGAAACACAGGGTGGGAACCAAAGTTTCTTGTCCCTAAAATACTTTATCTTGTATTCCAGTAGAGTTAGCAAATGGGAAAGTGGATTATTCCTAAAATAAAGGGAATCACAGAGAACTTCTGACAGGGAGGAGGTTGCTACAGGAGGCTGGATGGAAAGGAGGGGTTTTGTGAGGAGCAAAGATACAGAAGAGGAGAAGAGTAAATAAAGGACAAGGGTGTGCCTGGCTACTCTCACTGTAGGAAGGAAATAAGTGAGCACACTGATTCCTTGACAAATTCGGTGTGATACACAAGGTTTGACAGAGATGCAAGGCAACCCAACCAGACAAACCTAACTCCAAACCAGGAGGGGTGAAAAGGCTGACAGTCATGGGGACATGAGGGCAGGAGGGACCTGCTGCTGCCTGCCACATATTGGGCACCCACCCACCTGGATACTACACAGTGACTGTAGCCTGTCCCCAGGGTCATTCTTAGGACTTTCAGACAAAATTAAACAAAACACATAGGCTTTATTTTTCAGTACCTTTTCAAATTCAGCTTTGTTCCAATAAAATGAAGTGGTGCTAAGAAATGCCACACAATAAGCAACACACTAAATTCAGAGTGATGTGGAAATTTGTCTAGAAATCAGAGATGTGATACTGCTCCTCCTTCCCTTTTTGTTTCTCAACCATCTTTCATCTGAGCTGCTGTGACAGTAAAGGCAAAAGCCACTTGCTGATGTGAAATGCTCCCTTTCCAGGCCAGTGTCACGGTCTGCAGGCTTGCCAGGTGGCAGCAGATGGCACTTTCTTTGGAGATCCTTGTCCAGCTTTGGGAAGCTATTTGTCTGTTCAATATCACTGCAAGGAAGGTAAGAGGGAGGGGCCACACCAAAACGCTGTGCTGTTCTTTGCTGTAACACTGTGACCATTGATATTTATCTCAAAAATCACTGTTCCATCCTCAGGGAAGAAACTGGAATAGTGGTGATCACTGAAAATAAGCCAAAAATGTAGATTCCCTGTCCTAACGGTTCTGGGTAGAAGACAAAGCCCAGAAATTCATAAAACATAAAACACATTTAGATTAAACTATGTTCCAATAAGAATTTTGATTAGCAGTCATGGAAAAGAATCAGCTCCCTGTCACACCACTAATGCACACAAATTAGCAGCAGTACCAGCTGTGGTTTGGAGCAGGTTGGTTGTCAATGCCTGAAAATTAATTGAATCTTGTAACAAAAGTAGAAAAACACTGGCACTGAATTCTGTTTTGCAGGTCTGCAGCTGGTTATGACAGACACATGTTTTGTGTTTGAAAATATCACGCTCACTTTGAACTGGCTGCTCTCACCATACTCTGGGAATCTTTCCTGTACCATTAGCACTGGAGATGGTCACACTATTGATCCTTACTACCCTCTAACGTAAGACATAGCTTTCATTTCTCTTCAGGCAAAGAGGACATTTCATTGCTTGCACTTTATTGAATGTGCCAAATCTCAAACGTGAGATGTTAAAAACTAGATAGCTTAATAATAGAACATACCTACGAGAGACTTGGATTCTGCAAAAACCTGTCTTGAAATCAATACAAAATTTTATATTAAGCTGCCAAACACAACCTTTCTATTATAACAAGTGTTTCCTATTTCCAAGACTATTTGAGATCTTACAACTCAGAATTACTGAAAACATGTCAGTAATTGCCAAACTACAAGCAAATATTCCAAGACTATTTATTTGAGAGCTTACAACTCAGAATTACTGAAAACATGTCAGTAATTGCCAAACTACAAGCAAATGTTATTTCCTTAAGTTTAAAGAGTTGTTTTTTACAACAATTAGAATATAAGAAGGACATTCTGTAGTTTTTCTTTTAATTGCATAAAAATCCTGTCTTTAATAGATCAAACATTTTTCTGCTGGATTTAAAAATCAGATTTTGTCTTAGTGGTACGAATAGCATTTGAATGACTGACATTCAGGGATGTGTAATCATGTAAGGTGAAGGACTTCCCAGGATGGTCTTCCACAGTAAGCAGCTGTTCTCTTTCTATTCCAGACTGGTCAGCAACCTCACATACACGTACTCCTCTCCTGGGGAGTTCACTGTTTTTGTGGAGTGCACCACCAGTGAGTGGCATGTGATGGCCCAGAGGCAGGTGACCGTTCAGGATGGGGTGGATCAGCTCAGCATTACTGGGTGCTTCAGCCGGTGTGAAACAGGGAACAGCTCCCACTGCCGTACGCTCTATGGGGAGGTGTTGTGGATCCAAGTTCAGCTCACTGGAGGTGAGGATAATTTCTCTGCATGATTTAAAGGGAAGGATAAATATTATCCATCCATGAGATAGAAGCAGGATTTTCATTATGCAAAATAGTCCTTCTTTTTAGTGGATGCTTTCCTTCTAACTGTTGTGTTCCTGCAATTTAATTTTCTCAGTTCCCCTGGAGAGATTCTTCCTCAGACACATTTCACCACCCAAAGCATAAGTATAAACCCTTTTTTCCTACTGACAAAGCTGATGGCACAAGCATAACTTCAGTCACAAAAATCCATGTGATGCCTGTCAGAATATTTCTGTATTTGAAGTTAGAAATTCATGGAAATGCTCTACTGATTAGAGTAAGAGGATTCCTCTCTGAGCTGGACACATTTGCTGGTGTCCAGTTCTTTCTCACTTCAAGTTCCTGGAAGCCACATGTGCTGAAAAAAATTAAAATTCAGTAGCGTATGTTTGAATTCTCTTCTCAAAACATTCCCAGCAGAAAACACACGATAGATTTTCATTAAGTCACCTTAAGTGACTTTATTAAAAGTGACTGCATTGCTGCAGTATTCTTGTGACTGCTATATAAGCACTGGAATGCTGAACAAAGCAGTTGGAATTTGTCGGCCTATTGCACAAGCTGTGAGAAATTTTCATCTGTGCTTTTGCAGGCAATGGAGTAACCTACAGCGTGTTAGCAGATAACATGACACTGACTGAATCCAGTGTAAAGGAAGGTCTTGTTCCCCATAACCTGACACTCAACAGTGCCTCTCAGGAGCTGATAGGCCCAGGGATACATCAGCTGGAAATCCGAGCATCCAGGAACACGAAGGCTTCGGAGATCTCCGAGAGAATTGCTGTCCATTTAATTGAGCCAGTATCTGGAATTCAGGCTGCTGTAGCTTCCCACACTCTGCAGCTGGGGGAGGATTTGGAGGTGAATGTCTCTGTGTCCCACGGTGCCCCAGAGAAGCTGATGTTTGAGGTGACTGGAGCCAACCAAACCCACTGCCACAAAGCAGATGGCCCTCGCGGGGAGCCGCGGATGTACAGCGTTCCTGTGCCCTCGGAAGGTACAGCACACTGACACCCCCTGTGCTTCCCGGACATCACAGATCAGTACAGGTCACAAAAACAGGCACAGCACCCTGGGCTAGGGGACAGTAATGTACACCCGAATTTGGCAGCTTTTCTGACTGCTCAGACTCAGTCTGCAGAGCAGGATGAACAGCACAGTCCTATGTAAGTGAGCTAAAAAATGGAGCTGACAAATGGGTTTGCATATGCAGGCTCAGAGCAAGGCTTCACCTGATTCTTGCAATGCAAAAGACACAGTGAAAAGACATAGGGTTTATTTTTTCATGGCACCATCTGATTGAAGTACAAATGAGGATATTTTCTTGAATAGCAAAGTGTTTTCCTCCTATTTGTTCATAATGTTTCAAGTTTAGATTGCTCTGCATTTTACACTGAAGTAATCCATAATCTGAGGAGTTCTCAGTAGAGATGACAAAGAAAAGGGGAGTTTTTCTGCATGTCCATTTCCAACACATAACTTCTGTTGGAGTTAATTATGAGTAAACATTTAGCAATATTATCCTTCCATAATTGCATAGTCAAAGCCTTTAAAATGCGGAATTAGGCAGATTGTGCTTAAGAGTTAATTAACAGTGGCAGAAGATAAAAAAGTTTCCACCTCTAATGAGTTATTCCAACCTCATGCCAAAGTGGGAAGAGTAGAAGCTAATTATGATTTCATTTCATATTTTTAAATTATTCAATATTAAAATTTTATTTGTTCTCCCTGTACCCATTTGAACATCCCTTCCCCATAGGCAGAAATTTTCAAACAAGATAGCTGCTGTCTCAAGATGCCTAAACTCATTTGGCCTCCAGTGTTCATACACCTCTAGTTTCCTGTGTGATCATACCATAGTCAGCTGACAAAGAATAGCATGACAAGGGCTAGGAAAAGGACAACTGAGTTATTAAGAAGTTCAGATAAAGGGGAAAAACATTCCGGGAAAAACATTCCAGGAAAAGCATTTCAGCAGTGGACACCCATCAGAAACTCCCCTGAAAACTCTTAACAGAAAAGAAGGAGGTTTTCTGTACAGATTGGATATTATACCTCAAACCTGTTGGACTGGACCCACTGGTACTCTTAACTGGCCCTTTGCCTTCTCTAGGGACTTTTCTAGTGAAAGTCGTGGCCATGAATGCCTTCTCAAACATGAGTCTGGATCTTGGATTCATCACTGTGTTGGCAAACAGTTCCCATAAAAAAGGTAATTACTTTAATCTGACAGTGCTGGTTTTGACCACGTAAGTGTCTTTTTGCAATCAGAGCATTTAATGAAGTGTTTATAATTTGCATGTAGTAATTGCTTTCCTTCCAGCAACAGCGCTGAAAACTTTTGTGGAGGCTTCTTCCTGATGAAGGCAGATTCCCCGACTTTGATGTAGTCATCAATTAGCATCACTGTATATGTAACACATTGCACATTTGCTGTTTGTCCTAGAAATAATTAGTGAAGTTTATGGCTCAGGACATAGCTTTGAAACCAGAAGATATATGCATCACAGCAGTCTCATAAATTGCTGTCACTAATGGCTTCTAGATGGCTCATCCTTACATTTACAAGAGCAGATTATACCAGAAATAAAATAACCTTAGCACTAATTGTACTGAAAGTTTTCCAGTGCTTTCCATCAATTTTCCTTTGCACATCAGTGAAACTCCATCACCTTCTGTGAATATATTTTGATTTATACCGTTATGTTTGAAGAATCAGGATCATCTCCTTTGTAGTCTGTGATGAGCCTGTTGTCACCATTTTACCTATTTGACTGGGCTGTTTATCACAGCTCTAGAGTCAGATTCTTACAGCCTCATCTTTCACACTGTCAGTCAAATCCTGTGGATTTAAGTCAGATTCACTGAGGATGTCTGAAAGCTTTACAAGTAGCACTAAAATATTCTTCTCTTTTTTGCATTAAACAGATTCTGCTAAGGAAGAAGGCAGCTACAAAACAAATACTCAAAAGAAAAATGTAAGTATTATTTAAGGATCTTTCTTTAAAATTGATTATAAATTTTTCTTACCAGTGAAAGTGCTGTATAAGACAGGGAAAAGAAGTATTTGAAGCATAGTAAATTATGGACTAGATGTTCTGTTCCCCATATGGCTTAACACAAAATCTACACCACAAGTCTCGGAGACAAATGTGTTTACAGGCATTCCATCTACAATTCATAAAAAAGATTAAAGAAAATGAACTTTTCACAACAATTCAGTTTTGGAAGTTCAAATGTGCTTAGATGAATTTTTAATTCATCTACTTGACTTATGCAAACCTCTCTCTGAAGAGTGATCTTCAAGTAGAGTTTAATATATTTTATATGGTTCCCAAGTGTTTTCTACTTCTGTATTGGAGTGTTTAAATTATTTTGCAATGAAAGATTTTCCACTTTATTGCAAACTAAGAAGTTAATGATACACCAATTGCTAGCAGCTGTCCAAATTTAAATAATAAAAATGCCAGATAGAATATTTTATCATCTTAAAAGTCTAGTTTTTAACTGTAACACTAGCAGACAGACATCTGCTGTGGGAGATTTATTGCTCCACTAGAAGCCATCATGCTTTACAGATTGCCTGTAAGAATGTATTGCATCAGAGGAATATAAATCTAATCCAAACCCAAGTTTATCACAGTTCGGTACACAGAAAGACAAACTGAGCTACCCCTTCTTCTCTTTATTTATAGCTGCAATATATCCAATTCAGATTAAAAAAGGATGCACTAGAAGACAACTGGTTATTCAAGGGTTAGAGGTCTTGGTCCAGAGGTGAAGGTTTAATATGAATTAATTTCCTAAGTACCTGGTTTTGAAAATGGGAGCTGCACTCCTAAACCAATTCTGCATTTGGGAGAATGTTGCCACACAAATTTTCTGTGCCATCTGCTTCTATTCCCATAGTTTCTACTCCATACTACCTCTGATAAGGGAAAGATCATATAAACTACAGATCTGCATCCAGTGATTTGGGGTCTATACTTTCAGACCTTTTTCTTTATAAAGAAGTAACATATGTGTGTGTTTATACATGTTTGTGGTCTAACTGAAACATTTATTTCTTACTTAGGATCACAGAATATATATTAAACCGAGTCGCCATGTGGATCCTTTCACAACTGTTACACTTGGCTGGCCAGACAACAGCAGTAATTCCAGTTTTCTCTGGACCTGTGGTTCGTGCATTTCCTGAACTTTATTCACCAACTTCTACTTGATGAGTAACAAACTCACTGTTGTGTCAGATCCAGTGCTGAAAATCTGACTTAAGGATGCTTCATTTTCTGGCTTTAAAGTTTGCCACTCAGTGTACATGAAGGATGTCCTCCTACCCAACCCTACTTTTGGCACCAAACTAATTATGGTATATAATACAGCATAGCACTCCATCTTGTCTTCTCCCAAAAGTTTCAGATTTTCAGTTTTTCAAGATCTACCTGTCCTAAGCTTCACTCTTTTAGCCAAGGACTAATCCCAAGTGACTTACAGAGTTAGGCATTTGCAAAGTACCTGTGTCTCAATAAAACAGCAATAATTAACATTAAACATGATGCAAAAACATTTCTGGCTGAAAACAGGATTGAGATTCAGGCCATCTGTGTTCTAACCCCATAATTATCCCTGACCTCATATATGACTTTGGAAAAGCCTGTACTCTGAATCCAGATTGCCAACTCTTTAAATTGCGTTCTAGAAACTTGTCTGTAAAGCTCTTTGAAACTTATGGCAGGAAAGTCCCTTATAAGATGCTGTTCTAACTATAAAGGAAATGTTTCTGCAGGAGCTTGCTGGCCTGCCTGGAATGAATGTGTGAAGCAACAGATAATCCTAATCAACCAAAGTGAGGTGCAAATCCCACCTTCCTGCCTTCCTCCTCCCAAATCAGCAGTGACTGTCAGGATTACCGTCCGAAACCATGGCAGTGAAGAGGGGCAGGATGAGCAATGTCTCTATGTGACTGCAAAACAACAACTGCAACTGGAAATCAGGTCTGGTTTTAAACCCTGGTATTCACAAGTTAATATCATTACTGCACAAGCATAGTGTAAGGCCACAGTTTCCAATAATAAAGTGGTATTGTACTTTTAGAACCATAGAATAATAAAATCATAGAATCACAGAATGGTTTGGGTTGGAAGTGACCTTAAAGATCAACTTATTCCACCCCTCAGTCATGGTCAGGGATACTTTCCACTAGATCAAATTACTCAGAGCTCCATCCAGCCTGGTCTTGAACACTTCCAGGGATGGAGCATCCACAGCTTCTCTGGACAACCTGTGCCAGGGCTTCAACACCCTCACAGTAAAGAAAATTTATTGTTCTAAATCCATTTACACCTTACTATTATAAAAATTACTGACCAAATAAGTCTTGCTGCATTTTTCAGTCCATGTTTCCTTTTATAAACTGAAAAACATTCTTCCAAAAACCACTTAGGGTTTTTGATCCCACTGCATCCTTCCAGTGTTGGACATTTCAATGTGTCAACCTCATTGAAACAAAAGGAATAAATGCCATAAGTCTGAAATTTCTCCTAGACATCTCATACTATATGTAACTCCCATCTTACTTCCTTACAGGTGTGAGGCAAACTGCAAGCCAGTGAATGTTAGTGATGAAGTTGTTTTGAGTGTCTCTGGACAGGAGGACTCCCAGGCCATACATTATAACTGGTATTTAGATAACACATTCCAAAAGAAGGTGAGAGCACCAGATTTGTCAGAAATACTGCACACACAAAAAATCCACAAAGCCATGTGGCCTCAGAGGGAGATTTTGTCAAATGGATGCTTAGAAAATACTAGTGAAAACTGAGACAAGGGGATGCCTGGGTTGGGAGAGGTTATAATGAGGGGCACCAAACTGCCACCCTGCTCCTGATAAATCATGCCAGAAAGAACAGCAAAGAGCCTCTACTGCCATTTGTTCTTTTCTGTCTGATTTTCCAGTCCACAACCCTCCCTCCGGCCTGTGGCCTGACTGGTTTCCAGCAGAACTCTTTGAATTTGCTTCAAAGCAACACGTCTGTGTTAAGAATGACCAGCTCCTTCTTGCAGACACAGGGAGAAGCTTTTCAGATTAAAGTAACAGGTAGGGGCTAACAGGGTTTTTAGGGTTTTACAAACTCCTTTGAGATAGTCTCTGCTGACATCACATCCATGTCACACACACATAGCCTCACTGACAAATGTGAAGGTGAATTAATCCACAGGTTGAAAGGTGTTACTCTATAGGTGAATTCTTTAAAACAATGAAGAGATAAGTTTGTTCTGGGGTGTCTCACAGCAGGAGAAATTCAGTTATTCATACTCCAGGTGTTAAGACTCACCTGAAACAAAGTTATGCTAAACGCTTGATCAAATAATGGAGCTTTGCTTTATAACGCAAACATTAACATATTCGAAATAGCTCTTTTCCTCTCACGGTTTATTGAGGGGCAGACAGCCCCGTGGCTCGGTGGGCGATGCCGGGGCACGGTCGTGGCTGAGCCCGCTCCCTCCGCTCGCAGCCAGGACTCCGCGGGGTTACGGGGAGGGCTCGTTCCAGGTGAGCGCCGTGGCCCCGCCCGAAGCCCCGGTCTGTGCCCTGAGTCCCGGGCACGGCTCGGTGCTCACCGCATTCCGAGTCTCCTGCAGCGCTCCCGGCTCCCAGGGCTCGGGCCAGCCCCGTCCGAGCAGGCAGCTCACATATTGCTTCTATGTGACACCAGGTGAGTCCCCGGAGAGCGGTTTGTCTGCTCCCAACAAGAGCAAAGGCACAATGTGCCCTGCTCTGCTCAGGGGTGAGCCATGCCCCGAGTCCCCTGCTCTCAGAGAGCAGGAGGAGTCTCTGTGGTGTCTGGTCCCTGACTCCTTCTTTCCTGTTTCAGATTCTCTCCTGGATTGTAGCCCAGATCCTGAACTCTTCCCAGTTTATCTTCCACTTGGAGAAAAGGAAAATGATTTTATTTTATATGTGACAATTATTGTTAGCAACAATTTTGGTGATACAGCTCAAACAAATGCTTCAGTGAAGGTACAGGTAGAATTAATTTATTTCAAGAACTCTCAAGTTGATGACTAACTCATAATTGACTTTTGGTGCTTCTTCCTGTTTTAGATATATTACTTCCTTCTGAATGTGCCATAATCACCATTTTTCTATCTAACAGAGACTATTCTCTGTGTGCTCAAGGTCAAAAGATCTTCCACTGCCCTTTTTTCTAGAACAAAAGTCTAAAAGAATTGTTTGGACATTGATTGAGCAGTGTAAGCCTATTTACTGAGTCTGGAATTACTCTATGCAGGCCCCAAAAGCCTCCTGCTTCTTCCCCAGTGCCACAGTAATGAGACCCTTACCAGGCCATTAAAAAGAAAACATTTAAAATGGAGAACATGAAGTGTGTCATTAAGATGATCATGAAAGCTCTTCAAAGAAAATTGTAACAGCCGTGGCAATGCTGAGAGCGTTTCTGATTCCTTCATCAGGTTGGACCTGCAGATATGATGGATGGGAACCTGACCCTGCAGGCTGTGATATCTGAGAAGGCAAACACCATCCTAAAAGATGGCAACAACAGCATGAGTCTTTTCCAGCTCTACAAGTCAGTGACATCTGTCCTTAATCAGCAGATCCAAGAGGAAAGTTTTAACATGTCTTTACAGAAAACTACACGAAAAGAGGTCAGCAAAACAATGTCATATAATGGATTCTTCATATTCTTTGACAGCTCTTAAGTAATAAAAAGCTCACATATCACTACTTGAAATCAATGAAGGTTTTAAGTTTCTAGCATCTGTCTCAGAGCTTGGCACAGGTTTCAGCTAGTTTTCACTATTTGTCTACATAAATTATTTGTTTTATCACTCATCAGTAAAACAGTTAATTCTCAATTGTTATTTCATTAATTTAAACTAGTTCATCTAAACCTGATTTTCCAAAGCAATTTAAATATCGATAAAATGGCATCTCCAGTGGGATAAATATTCTATTTAATTTCCTCCAAAAGCACTAGATGGCAGGTAATTTTCTTTTGTCCATTTTAGCCACAAGTTGATGTTTCAGTCATAAGCTGATATTTGTACAGTGCTTTGAGTGCCTCAGATGAAGAGATCTAGAGAATGCATCCTTCAATTAAGATTCATTATTTGAATAACATCAATCACACATGGCTCTGCTTTCTCTGGAAGTGGCATTTACGCAGTAATTCACATACATTAGTACAAATTCTCACAAGTAACTCTCCTTGCTCTTAATGGATGTTAAGTGTATGAATTCTCTGTGCTGGGAGCTAACATAAAACTCATGATTATATAATTACTAGGGCAAGTGGCATCTTGTCAGTAGAGCTAATATCAGCTCAAATGATTCTTATTGTGGAGTCTTACTCTACTGCATAACTTACAGCGAGCCTGGCTGCCAATACACAGCACTACTTTCACAGTCCTAATTAGCATCTTGTTCCTTTGTCTAATTATCCCTTTTCATCCCAAGCTCCGAGGGCTGATGCTGACAACTCTCTCTGTTGTTAACATAACATCAATGCAGACTGCTCTGAAGATGTCAGAGGTACTGAAAGAAATCACTTATAGGAGTGAAGAGCTGTCTGTCTCAGCACAGGTAAGAAGTAATTCATCTTGTATCTCTTCACACTAAAGTAGAGACTTTAATTATCCCACTGTCCGTGGAAGAGTTTCAATGCCTTATAATTATCTGTTCTTACCCATATTTTCAACTATACCAGCATGTGTATTTTGACTCTCTTTAGAGTAAGTAAATTCAACTCTCAGATATTGTCTCAGCAATCTCTACAATCCAGGCTATGACCGTTATATTTATCATATATTTGTGAGGCAGAACCCTTAACTTTTAGTCAGAAACATGTCAGGGTGCATGTTTTCTCCTGTAAAGTGCTTTTAGAACCCTGAAGAAGAACAGCTTCAAGAGGGTTTTTCTAGAATTGCCCACATTCATTCATCCTGGCACTGCACAAAATGCATATAGGCAATAGTCAAAGGAACGTGTCAGCACTCAGAGGAACTGGGCACAAATGTGCAGGTTGGTCTCACAAAAGCTTCTCGAATCTTGTCTGGCAACAAGACATTATTATGCTATTTATTCTATGCTATTTATGCTTACAGGGTGAGCATACAGCAGGATAGTATAAACTGCCACTGGAGGAAGTTTCCCAAATATGCCGGCAATAAAAACAGCTGTCCTGATCCCTGATGTATTATAGAGCTGGAGCCAGGCAATGGCTTGGGAGCATTTCAGCAGCATGTGGTTAACATTGGCAAGACAAGAACAGCTCAGGTCCAGCCCTCACCCTACAGAAAGGCTGCTCAGTGTTCACAGGCTGTCATGTGTCCAAGCCTGCAGTGAATTTGCCTGGCTCATTCACTGTCCTGGGCTAAGATCTGGCCAGTGCTTTCCCAGTCACAAAGCTGCATCCAGGCACAAAATAAAAATTGTAAAACTTATTATTCTTTGGCACTTAGCACTTTGGCACTAAGATAGAAATGTATAACCTAATTTACTACTTTACTGTACATCTAAAAGCTATCCTTGCCCAGGGTTTGACAGGCACGTTATTCATCTTTTTATGGATTATATCTGTAGAAGCAGGCTGCATTTTTCATGCCTGTATTCCATTTTGGTGTACCATCTAGTATATGATCTTTATTAGCATTTGAAGTATTATTCCAGCACAAATAATTATAGTAAAAACAGCTTTAGCCACTAATAGTCCTAAGAGATTACTGACGTTGCAATATTCAGTAAATTACACAAGTGTCACTTCTGTAATTTGTAGTGCCAGCACATATAAACTGCTTCCTGTGTTTGTCTTGCAGGTGGAAGCCAGCAACACTCTGAAACATGTCAGTGCCTCCTTGCTTGCTGTAAACACAGAGCACAGCAGAGATGGTGAGGAGTTAAAGGAAGCAGCCAACTATCTGTTTAATGCAGTGAGCAATGTTCTTAAAGCTTCTGTAGAAATCAGAGGTGGGAACACTTCAGTGCCAGAGGCAGAACAGGTAATTTAGATTTGGTCCAGTTTGTACTGTGCTATATGTGAATATTTGTTTGCTTTGGGAGGTTTTTAAAATCTCTGGTGCCTCCTGTATTTTTAAATTGGTGCTGGGAAGGGTTCATTGTGACACCATGATGGACTTGAATATGAGAGGAAATTTCTCCCCAGTTAGATATGTTAAGATTGAATGTCTGGTAATGAAGATGATAGAGGCCTTTTAAAATTTGTTACATTGAAAGATGAACAGGACAGAGAACACAGTATCATCTCTGACCTCTAATCGATGACAAGCACATTGTGATTTTTTTCAGATTTGCTTCTATCTCCTCCCTTTGCCCCATAATTCAAGGAAGCCACAGGTATTAAATATTCATGATTGCCACCCCTACTTCACAGCTTGAACCAGCTCTGGTTGCTGCTTACTCTTTTGCAGAAAGCTCTGATTATCTGTTCAAAAAGATGCAACGTGATTATTTTGCCCTACCCTTTCCTTTGTATATATTAATTGTCACAGCTGACTCTGTGAGTTTCCTGGGCTGAACATACTTTCATTTCATCACTGCAAGGGAGTAGAGATGAAATAAATCTAACCTGACAGAAAAGATTATGAACTGGACAAATGTCCCAACAATAACCCACTAATAATACACAACTGATATGTAATTAGGTGTTGCTTTTCCAAGTAACTAAACATTAACATGTGAAGCTAAGGGCATTAATACAAAAGTACATGAGTATATTGATTGATGTCATGCTTATAATTTCAATGTGTAGAAGTTATAAATACTATACAATATAGAAGTAAAATCTGTAAGGCATTTATTTGATATCTGCAATGTTTCAATGAGAATTACAGAAGCTGAATTGCAATAGAATAACTTTCTCTGAGATTAGGAAGCTCATCACCAAGTTTGTCAGCTTAGTAAAATACCAAAATTGAATGGAAGCAATGACAAATAATGTGCAGCTTGATGATCCTGAGTAAGTTTCCTCCTCTAATTTTTTTCCAGAGTTCAGTGTCACACCAGCTCCTGAGTACAGTTGAAAATCTCCAGAGTGCCCTTCTGTTTGGGAAGGCACCGGGTGATGAGCCAACAGTCCTCACCTCTCCCTCTGCTACAATGTACATGCACAGGTAACACCTGCAGAGTCACCCACTGAAGCTTCTGAGAGCTACAAATGTTAATTCCATTGTACTTAAACAGAATCTTTGAAACTAACTAAATATTGTAGCATAATGACAATTTCAATAGTGCAACAAGGCTGTTAGTGACCGGTAGTGAGAACAGCTTGGACTCCAGGAGCATCAGCTTAAAAATGCCCATGCTGTGTGTTCTTTAACCAGCAGAGGATTGACTACAATTTCCTGAATGAGGCAGTAGTCACTTACTTTTGAAATTATGTAGAAAACTCATGTCATGCCAGCTAAGGGTTTCTTTTCTTTTCCAAGTTGCCAGTAATGACATGTTATATGGAACTGTAACCAGCTTGGCAGAAGCAAATATAATCCTGAGGAGCCTGACGAGCATTTGCCATTCCCTATAATCATCCCTAAATTGTTCCCTGAGAGCCTGGTTTTCATCCACATCAATCTGTGCATTCAAATCAAGAGCATGTTCACACAGAAATCAAGTCCTTCAAATAAGTACATCTTGGTATATCTTTCTCTCCAGATATGCCAATTTCACCCCTTTTCTGATGATTCTGTGGTAGCATTATGTGGAGTACTTCATTAAGGACAGATTCATGTATGAAGTATTTGTTGGTAGACTTAGAAATAGTTTTGCAACTAAGTTGTACTCATTAAGAGAGAAAGCTTTCTCTGTAAATATGAAGTCCATGCTATTGATGTTTGTTTTTTTTCTGGTGTTTCTCTTTACTTTTATTATTTTTTTTCTCTTTTATTCTGCTTTGCTTATGCCCAACCCTAACTGGACAGATTACAAATAGAAAACATGGATAGCACATCCATTAACATCTCCAATTCCAGCTCTGCCAGCTTTACTCTCCCACCTGCTTCTTCTCTCAGTGTTTCAGGAGTTGATGGTGAAACAGTGGATATAAGGGCAAGTAAAGAGCTTTTATCTAACTCTATCTGATATCCAGTTTACATTCCTGATCTAATGGTTTTAGGATCGTTTATCCTTTCACAGAGAACACACGAGCACACATCATTCCTCCTGTCATGCCAAGAAAATAATTTGAAAATATTGGTCAAAGAAGCCTTCATTTACGTTAATTGCATGAGGTTGGTTCAGCAAGTTAAGGACAACTGAATTCTTAAATTCCCCATCCCATCAGCCCCTTACATACACTTTGATTCACACATACATGGCAGGAGCAGGCAGTGGAATGAATCAATACCTATAAATCTGTTTGCTGTTTGTTTACATCTCATGCTCTGAGATGGATGCAATGGCTCAGAGTCCAAATCACATTCAAATTAACCTACGGCAGCCTTTTTTCATCCCAGCAAGCAACACCTGAGTGTGGGGCACTCAGATCCTGCAGGAGACAAAAGTGATGATGTCCCCCCCATCTGAATTAGGACATGGACTTTTTTCCCTCAGAACAATAGATTGCATATAATTGTCATATTTTCATAATAAATTTTCTGAATATCTCTCTGGTTGATTTGACCCTCTCAGGAGAACCCTAAAATACCTGCAAACATTTGGTTTTTTCCATTGCACCTTTTCCAACTCTGCCGAAAAGGTGTCACAGTATATGGAAACAATAAAGATTGTTGTACACATTTCAGAATGAAAATCACTTTCAAGGTTTATAGACTCACCTTAGAGATAAGGTAGAGTCTTATTTTAATCTGGATACAGACTTCTTGGAAGTCGACTTCTATTTGGATCTAAGCTCAATCTTTCACTATTCAGCAATTCAGAGTGTGAATAAAATGAAATATTGACAATAGCTCAGTTCTCTGATTGTTAATGTCTTCTAACAGATGGTGAGCTTTGCCATGAATCCCTTTTTCTCCAGTGACAACAGTTTTGACATCAGTGGAACAGTGGGAGGTCTAAGTCTAACTGATCTGGATGGTTTGATCATACCAGTCAGCAACCTCGAAGAGAACATTGAGGTAAACCCACTATTTCCTAACTTTCACCCTCTTTTCCTATTTTTACCTTTCTCCATTGACAAACAATCTTTTGTGTTATCATTTGTGAGGTGAACACAAATGCTGGTAGTGTTCATTACATTAGGTAATGGCCTGATGCTGTCTGTAGTTGTGATGGAAGGATTTGTGCGATGTGGTAAAAGAAATAACAAATATTTCTGTCTTCTCTTGAAAAGGAGGCACTTTATTCTTCCTTTAAATGAAAGTAAGAATGCTAATGGCTGTGGAAATAGATTCCAGATTAAAGTCATCCCAAAGCACCATGTGAAGTTTGATTTCATCATCCAACCACTGTATCTATTGTACTACTTTTTGGCTTCCTAGCCCATGTGTAAAATGACATCTAAATCATTCATATGTGCACTTCATGCGGCCAGTGTCTCAGTCATAACCACAGTTCTCAGTTCAGAAATGCACTAAGGGTCATAGGCTTTGTGATGAGTCTACATAGATTTTAAATTAACTTTTCAGAGGTTAGTTTACATTATCCAGAAAATTACTTTGAAAGTGATATTTTTCCTGGCCATGCTTTCCTGATGTTACAAAAAACCATAATCTAGCATGTGGCTGCATGCTAAGAAGAAAAATGCTTTTCTGTATTTAAACCTAAGTCTTTCTGTTTAAAAACAGATCATCTTACCACGGCTTTCAGCAGCTGAGGAAGATAAGATTCTGTTGAAGCTGGGCAATTACAGCACTTTTCAAGTCAATGTTACCTCAGAAAACACATCTATAGTGATCCACCTGGAATCTGAACATGACATCCCACTAATACTTTACTTGGGGTATGGTTATCATCCAAATGAAACCAACTATGACATGAAAAATCATCTGTTCTATAAGAAAACTTCTGGAGGTAAGATAAGTGGTTAGTGACCCATGAACTTGCAGAATGAGCCTTGAGCATGAGTTCAGGTGTCTAGCTGGAAAGAAACTTCATGCTTCAAAGTTCCAATCTCATGAATAAAGTTTTCATTAAGAGGAACAAAGATTGGGATGATTTGATCAATGAGTTTCTAAGAATGATTTCACACTTGTTTCTTTGGTTTATTTATTACATGACATACAGCTCCATGCTTCTGAATTAGCCTTTCTATATACACATTGAAACAAAAATATTTATGTTCAAGGTGAGATAAACAGCTGGGTTCTCAGCCCAGAAGAACTCATTTTTGGAGTGGGAGCCTACTATTTCATGGTTTTACAAGATATGGGAACGGATTCAACAGTCTACAATGGGCTAACCATAAATGCCACTTGCTTTGCATCCCGCTGTGTATTTTGGGATGAGCACCAGGGAGGCTGGAACAGCTATGGATGTCATGTAAGTAGAGCAAAACAAAACAATGTGTCTGTTACAAAGCCAGCCCTCATAACCACCATCATGTAGTAACTGATACCATAAAACAAGATCATTCCGAGATGTTTTAATAACTCAAGAAGCTTAGTCATATTGATCTAATCTTTGAACAACATTTCCATTTCTATTTCTTGAGATGAGCTTTTCTATATAAGACGAAATGGAACCATTCTGACAAGGCCATAATACACTGTAATGCCCATTTCTGGTTAGGTGTTAGAATTAATATTCCTTATTGGAACTTGAACAGTTTGGTGAGCAGCAGTTCTCTACACTAACTTACCAATCTCAGCACTGTCTTTTCATTTGCTCGGTAAGTCATCTAATACTTTTATCAGGAATATTTTCTGGGTTTCAGGTAGGACCAAAAACAAATCCTAGCAGCACACAGTGCCTCTGCAACCATCTGACCTTCTTTGGGAGCTCCTTCTTTGTCATACCCAATGCCATAGATGTCAGCAAAACAGCACAGCTGTTTGGTACATTCGTGGACAATCCTGTGGTGGTGACAACTGTAGGATGCATCTTTCTGATATATGTGCTTGTACTTATTTGGGCTCGAAGGAAAGACATCCAGGATGATGCCAAAGTAAGTCTCCAGCTAATAAAGCCAATGTATTCAGGCCAATTCCCACTATGCCTAGCCTGTTTTAACAGGAAGTCGTTAACCAATCCTACTCCTTTCTCTGTAACTGTCTGTTTACTGGTAAGTAAACACTGTTCACAAGATCACAAATTCCTACTCACAGCTTTCAGGAATCTGTACTTACAGGACAGCTAACATGCTGCTCGTGTTGTGTGGCTCTGCAGGTGAAAATCACAGTCCTGGAAGACAATGACCCCTTTGCCCAGTATCGTTACCTTGTGACAGTTTTCACAGGACACCGCCGTGGCGCAGCCACAACCTCCAAGGTATCAGTGGCACCCTGTGGGAGGAGAATTTATTTGCTTAGAGAACTGGATGAATAAAGGAGCACCTGAGGCTATTAAACAGGACAGCTCAAATGCACTGTCTGAGCCAGAAAACCCTTAGGTTTGATGAAAGGAGAAAAAAATCACACATAGGATTGAGATATGAAAATCTTCATTTTGCCTTTTTATTTTCCAGGTGACTCTCACCCTCTATGGACTGGATGGAGAGAGTGAGCCCCACCATCTAAATGATCCTGATACACCAGTCTTTGAACGTGGAGGAGTGGATGTTTTCCTCCTCTGTACCTTCTTCCCTCTTGGGGAACTGCAGAGTATTAGATTGTGGCATGATAATTCAGGGGATAGTCCATCCTGGTAAGTGGAGGGCTGGAGATGCTGGGAAGTAAAAATCCACAAATAATTTTTTGTAATGACAGCAGCTTTCCCTTTCTAGCACTTGAAAATTATCCTTTCTGCAGAGAAGAAGTGTTAGATTTTTGTTTTTGCAGCTGAATAGACCAAATCAAAGCCTAAACTGCAGGACCAGGACTGCTTTCCATATCCCATGTCCAGTACAGGATGGGCTATATCCTGTGCCTTACAATTTAGTCACCCTAAGAAGCTGAAGGCCAGAGTTTGTCCCCCACAGCTCTGGATTTTACACTCAATGACATGTGACTGTGCCCTGTGTGTTTTTCCAACAGGTATGTGAATCGAGTATTAGTCCATGATCTGGCATGGGATCAGAAATGGTACTTCCTCTGTAACTCTTGGCTAGCCATTGATATTGGAGAATGCATCCTAGATAAAGTGTTCCCAGTAGCAACAGAACAGGACCTGAAGCAGTTCAGGTACCTCCTATTTAATGGATTATTTTACTCTTCATAGCAGTCAGTCTGGAAAAACAAGCATGAAAAAAGGAGACCAAAGCCCTAGAAAAAAAATGAAAACAAGGAAAGTCTTTCCACTGTCCTTAAAGGGCTCTAAACAAGGGAGAGAGGGAGGATGGTTACATAAATCTAATCATTACCCTAATAGTAGTACTATACTGAAAATATTGGTGCTAAAGAAGGATAGCCTGACAAACCTACAGAAACCCAAACATCTTCTCTTAGGTGTAATTTTCTTAACAATTTCAATAGGAACTATTCACTTTGCCTCTATGCTGTGGCCAAAAAGAAAGGACATAAGTAGCTATGACCATTCCATGCAAATCAAGCCATGATATTTCTCCTAGTTACTACTTATGCTGATAGTGCCTAGAAGCATGAACAGGTTGAGACCCTGAACTGGGGCTTTGTTCTTCCCTCTCCTTTCTATATATCAATTTGATTTCCCTCTTCTCCTTCCCAGCAATCTGTTTTACATGAAGACTTCCAAGGGTTTCCAGGATGGACACATCTGGTACTCAGTTTTCAGCCGCTCCCCACGAAGCTCCTTCACGCGAGCCCAGCGTGTGTCCTGTTGCTTCTCACTGCTCCTCTGCACCATGCTGACCAGCATCATGTTCTGGGGTGTGCCAAAGGATCCTGCTGAGCAGAAAATGGATTTGGGTAACAATCCTCACCATTGCTTGGGCAGGCAAATGGAGAGACAGCAGAATCTGGGAGCAAGAGTCGAATAAATGTTTTTTTTTCACAAGAGAGAGACTTGATGATTTATTTTGCCTGAGGTTATTTTTCCTTCTCTCCTCTGTTTGCCCTTGACAGGTAAGATTGAGTTCACATGGCAGGAAGTGATGATTGGCTTTGAGAGCTCCCTCCTCATGTTCCCCATCAACCTGCTCATTGTCCAGATCTTCAGGAACATACGACCCCGGCCAGCCCAGCAGGGCAGAGAGAAGAAGCCAGGAAAGAATGGCCGAGTATCCCCAAGCCTGCCTCCCACCCCAGGGCCCACCCAGGCTGCCTCTCTCACTCCAGAGGCTGTGGCAAAGGCAAGTCCCAGTGAGTCCTGCACTGCCCTCTGCTGCCACACACTACCGGCTCCACAGATTTCCCTGTTCCGATGCCCTTCAACCTGTCTGAAGAGAAAAGCCAATTACCACTGGTGCAAAGCATTCATTTGCCCACCTAAATGCAATCCTTCATTAAGGTCTGCCTTTGTACATCCCAGCCCTTGCAGTTATTGGGTGTGACAAAATCACTCTGTTCAGGAGTTAAAACAAACACTAAGCAAGACAGTGAAGATAACAGGTATCATGGACCACATCTGCCTCAGCTTAGGTCCTCACGCTGCCCTTTTGAGCCCCAAAAGCTGCCTTGCTGAACTCACTGAAATCTGCCTGTCACATCCAGCACTGTAGGATGTGCTATTCTTATCCATTCTGGAGATTTTAGCAGTTGGTGCAGCTCCCAGCCAGTGGTACTGTCAGATCACATCAGCTTAAGCCACTGCAGCCAGAGTCACCGTTGTGTTGCTGCTCTTTCCTAGGACATAAGAAGAATTGCCAACTCACTTTTTAAAGCCCTGAAGACTCCATCGCTCATCTCAGTGCCAGACCTTGAAAAATCAACTAATATCAACACACTCCTGTCATTGGTTGAGGACATCATCTTTCAGCAGAACAGAGCTGAGCAAGGGTTTTATGATGAGAGCAAGAATGATGACCCTATAACTGTCACATTGGGTGCTATGGATATCCAAGGTAAATAACACACTATGAAATGCCTGCTGAAACCTTTGCAGTGAAAATGATGATAGCACTGGATGTGATGACCCAAGCTCTTCTCACATTCTCACTCAAAGGCAACTACAGAATCACAGAATAGCTGAGGTTAGAAGGGATCTCTGGATCCCACCATGTTGCTCAGAGCAAGGGCAGTGGGATTGCCCAAGAATAAATCAGTCAGATGCTGAATATCCCCAAGGATGAATATTCCACAAATTGTCTCAGCAACCAACTCCAGTGTCCAACATCTACGTTTTTTCTTATGTTCAGAAATTTCCCATGTTTTAAGATGTGCTCATTGCTTCTTGTTCTTTCACTGCTCCACTGAGCACCCAACTAAGTGAAGGCAACTGTGAAATCTCTGTTTCTTTTGCTGTAGAATCAAATGTTTGCTACCAGTCTGGCTTGGGAGCTGAATCAGCATCTTCAAATGAAAAGACTCACAAATATCATTTGCCTCACAAACTATTTGACCTGCCCTTTTATTTTTTTTCTTGGCCTTGTGCTCTTTTTCCTTTCAGTCTGGCTCTCAGTTAAAGAATATATGAGTAAACAATCTCACTGATTTCATTAAGACTCACATTTGGCTTTTGCAGAGAATCTTCTAAGCTACTAATTACACAGCTAAACCATGAACAAACTAACAGTTGAGCTGATCTGACCTGTCTATTAAGATTTTAGGACTGCTGTTTAACTCAGTTGCCTTCTGGAAAAAGTTCCAGGCCATTCCAGCAGAAGAGCAGTAAGCTTTAGTACTAAAGCTACTTTTACATGTCTCTTCATATGTTAATCTTCACTTCATCACATTCGTGATCTTTAGCTCCATTTCTACCACCCTTTGTATGAACATTGTTTTAATCTGGGACTATTTATTTTCTAAGTAAATAAATAATTCTTTGCCTGCAGAAAAAACAAGAAGTCCAACTCCAGAGAACAGAATTTGTGGCCAGCTGAAATACAGTGATTACTATCGCTGCTTGTACATGCAACTCCACCATGTGGAGATGGAACTGGAATTACTGGGGGCCCATAAATTTCAGATGCCTCAGAGTTATACACAAGCTGTTTGTCAGGTTCAGCATATGAAGAACCTCCTAGAGAACCAAATCTGCTCATCAGCGTCCATCACTGAGGGGTAACCCAGTTCTCATTCTCACTATAAGTAAATTCAGGTCATGAATGCAGAGTTGGATAGGATGACAGAGCCCAAATAATTACTGCTTAACATGTGCTAGATAACTATTATTACATCTGTAAAAATAAGCCTCACTATTATACCACTGCAGGAGCTACAAAGAAATTTCCATGTACTGTGAACTGCATACAAAGGCAGTAATGACAGATCATTGCTGTTTGTCATTTTTGCCTCCAAAGTGGAAAGTTATAATACAATGCCATGTGATAGTAAAGGGCTGGAATAATCACCCAACTCCAAAGTCACAGAAGTCTCTTAAAATGTATGGATAAAGAAAAATTAATAAGCAGACAAAAATAGTTCAGTGAAATATGATAATTAGGTTGGAAGTATTGAAAACAATTGCACTAATTACGTCACTTGACTATTATGGTGATCACAAGAGATGCATTCCACAGCTTTAATGCACTCATAGCTTTGTCAATAATTCTACTGGAGATTCAATTATGCATGAACTGAGGAGTAAATAAGCCCATCACATTTATTTTGATTTTAGCTGATCTCTGCACACTTCCTCATTATTTTTTCTCACTGTACTTTTCAGTATCCATATATCCTGTATAACTGCATTAATTAAAAGAATATTTTTATTTTATATCATGAGATGTTGCCTATTCCCAGTGAACCTGATGGCTGCGATTTTGATTCCTGTTCCATCCCAGACCAATTTTTTTCTCTTCTGGTTGACTCTCAAGGTGGTCCCACACTCCCAACTTGTCCAGTGATGACAAGAAAAGTTCTTCTCCCAGAGGGCTGCCCTGGTGGTTTGTGTTCATTGCTTGGTTCCTTGTGGCAGCCACCAGTGGTGTGTCTGGGTTTTTCACCATGCTCTATGGACTCCATTATGGCAAAGAGAACTCCATCAAGTGGCTCATCTCCATGGTCATCTCCTTCTTGGAAAGTCTTTTCATCACACAGCCTTTAAAGGTGAGAGCCTCAGAAATACAACCATTGGCCAAAATGAACTCACCTGGTGCCATTGCAGGAAGACAATGTAACATGCTCTAAACAGCTACAGGATTTAGGATATAAAATGGGAAGTCTTTGCCCTCAAAACAAGAGCAGGCAGGTGGTTTACAGAATTCTGCTGGTTTTTGCTGACATTAACTCCAAGAGAGTTTCATCTCCCTTGCTTTGTCAGGGTTTAATGAGGTTTCTGACTAGTGAGGATGTGTCACAAAATCAGTTTAACGGGACAAACCCCAGCACTGTGCACTGTTTTCTTGTTTATGGGCTTCAGCTGCATGGGTTCAACAAACCCAGAGCTCAATTGTTTTCCTGCAGTGCCTGGATCCAAAGGGAACCAGGTCAAAGCCAAATGAAATGGGAATATGGTAAGTCTATAGCTGATTCTTTCCAGGTGCTGGGATTTGCTGCTTTTTTTGCTCTGGTTCTGAAGAAGGTGGAACATGAGGATGAAGAAAACACAGCTATTGATGGACCTTTATCTGCACCAGGTAACTGCTTGCAAAGTTAAAAATTCTTAAAGAAAGTGCAGAATTCTCCAAGCTTTTGGAGTGCTTTATGAATGAATATGTGACTAAGCTTAACTGGCTTGCAACAAAACCTGTAATTATTCCACAACTTAGTGAAAATAAGTAAATGACCAGTAAAAAATGCATCCTTCATGAAGACTGGTAGCTCTTTATCTGACAAGCATAACTAAAACCTCTCACAAAGAAATTTCCCATATCCTTTAAGCCCTATATGGACCTTCTCAGGTTACATACTTTTCCACAGCCACAATTATCTGCATTATTTCCCTAAACTGAACAGTGGCTTCTGCAGTCATAATCATATCTAAATAAAGCCTTCAGCAGCAGACAGGAATCCTAGGGCACAGCAAAGTTATCTGATCTACAGCTTCCTCCCTGCTCAGCCTCAGGCTATGAATACACCACCTTCTGAGATGCTCAGCCTAGACAGAGACACCTGGACCACACCTGGTCCTAAACCAAACACACCGTGCTTGTGAGCTCCTTCCCTCCCCACTGTTTGCCTTACAATTGCTATGGTAATTGTTTAAATCACATCCTCTGTATCCCTGAGGGAAAGCATTAGATAGAAATGCATCCTTAGAAAGTCCAAACAAACAAAAAGCAGGACATGGATGATCAATTGACTAATTCCAGGGTTCACTGCTCTCCCCCACAGGTGATTCACACCCTCTCTTTGGGGTCAGAAGGGACAGTAGAAGCAATATTTACCGGCCACCTCCTGCTGCTGATGTGGAGAAAATGAAAATCAGCTGCATGAAGGAGCAGAAAGCATTTGCCCTCATCAGAGAAATCCTGGGTATTACCCATATTACCCAACTAGATTATCTTGTTTTATTCATTAATACTCATCAGTAATTTTACATAAGTGAAAATACTGCTCTCTTGGGTGACAAAGTTTTGGCATATCTTCATTTTTCTGCCAGCCGTTATGATGTAGAGACAGGCGGTTCCATGGCAGCTGGAGCTGCAGGGAGGTGGGAATGTTAGCTGGAGATAAAAGTGTGACTAAGGTTCCATGGTAAAGAAACACATCACAAACATGAGAAAGAAAAAAGAAAGGATAAAAGGAGGAGGTCAGCAATTAAGTGAAGCTGAAATCTAAGTGCAGATGGAGGCCATCTTTCTAAAAGCAGATAGTATCTATAGATAATGATTTATGCCCCTGTTTTATTTCCTCTAAAATCAATGGCAAAAAAAAAAATTACCTCAATTTCACTTGGAACAAAGTTAGACTACTAATTTTATTTGGAGCTGCCATGACTACTTCTAGTCAGCCTTCCCACTTATTTTCTTGACTGCTACTCATATTCCAAATGTGAAGCACTTAAACTGCAGCACATTGGAGCAGCTTGGGTGCATTCATTAGCACTGGTCACTCAGAGTCTACAAAGCACCTCCTTGGCCTAATAGGTGCTGACAGCAGTAATCATTCATGCAATTTATTTTGAGCAGCATTGTTAATTCAGAGCTCACATGCGCTGTCTCTTCCTGTTTTTTTTCCAGCCTATCTGGGATTTTTATGGATGCTGTTGCTGGTTGCCTATGGGCAGAGAGATCCCAATTCCTACTATTTAAACAAACACATTAAGCACAGCTTTACAGATGGATTCCAGGATGTCTACAGTTACCAGGATTTTTTCACCTGGGCGAACACTACTTTACTCAAAAATCTTTATGGATCATATAAAGGTGCAGAGTTACATTGTTTCCCTTCAGCTTGCCAGATTCTGAAACATTATTTTTAATACTTATCTCTAACTTGCATATTTGAGTGGAGAAAGGGACTGTGACTGTATAAGGCTAGCAAGGAATCTTACAATATGAATACCAGTGGATAACAAAACCCCACAGTTTGACCTCAAATTAAACATCCCCTGGTATTTTCCTTACATTTAATATAACCCAAAAGTTCTGCCCTGCAATGCTAATTTTTTCACATTTTACATTACTTACTCCAGATATTCACATATGGGTTCAGTTTTACACAACTTTCTTTTCATAGTAAAAAAAAAGAATGGCAGACAGGTGGCACCACAAAGCTTTTCCTCAGGAGAGTTGTTTGTATCAGGACTTGGGTCAATTATGCAATATCAGCATGTTTCTATGTAGCCATAGCCAGTAAAATATGACCCATTTTCCAGCTCACATTTAAGGGTAAATATTGAAATACATTAGCAGAGTTGTTCTTTGGACATGACAAGACACATGAACATTGCATTAAGCTACACTTCTATGGGATTCGAGGTGAGTCACTTTCCCCCAGGCCTCACTTTCCTTCTGTATAAAATACAGATGGGGGTGACACAGAACTCTGTTATTGTAAATGTTATTTAAGAATTCAGTTCAAATCAATATGAGGGTTTAATTTGCGTGACTATTTTGCTTACAGTGTTTCCCAGAAAAGAAAATATGGCAAAATATAAATGCATCAGTGAATCATAAATGAAATGAAGAAATATTATGAATTTTATCATAATGCCAGTGCTGCTCCTTTCCATCCCCTCTTTAGGATTCATTACAGATGGCAATTCCAAGCTGGTGGGTAGTGCTCGAATTCGCCAAGTAAGAGTGAAAGGAGACACCTGCCCTATTTCTCCCAGACTCCAGCACGTAGTTGAGGAATGCCATGCTCCATACTCCCTACAAACAGAGGATACATCAGTTTATGGGGAGCACTGGAATACCTCAGTCTTTGATAACTCCTCTGACTTGAGCTCAGCATGGCGGTATCAGAGTCAGTCCAAACTCAGAGGATACCCAAGCTGGGGTAAATTTGCCATCTACAGTGGAGGGGGATATGTGATTCACCTGGGAACAGACCCTAAAAATGCCTCCAGGTACCTCTTGTGTTCTTGTAAATTATCAGTGCATTGTCCATATGATACTGTCTCATTCCTGTATAAATTAGATCACTGCCTACACATTCTTTTGGCAGAATTCTCCAGTACCTTTTCAACAACGTCTGGCTTGACATCTTCACCAGAGCAGTGTTTGTTGAATTTACAGTCTACAATGCCAACGTGAACCTCTTCTGCATTATAAGCCTGATGTTTGAAAGCAATGCTTTAGGTGAGAGCCTTTCCTAAGTTACACATTTCTGGAGACAGCAAGCAATGCACCTACAGAAGATAGATTTACTCAATAGCAGTGTTTTCCTAGTTCTTTCTTCAGGAAAGACAAGTGTTTTAACAAATCTAATCAAGGGAGAATCAATGCAAATTTTCGAAACCATTTAAGAAAAATGCAGCACCACGGTAATATAGACTATAATGGAAGATCTTATGTTTGCTTATGCTGTGGTCATCTGCTGCTGAAGAAACATGGTACTGAAACTTGATCTCAAGAATTTAGACAACATCAACAAGAAAAATTCTGTTTTCTAATCACTTCAGCTAATCAATACAATATTAAAACAAAAATGCAAATAACTGGTTTTTTTGTTCCAGATGACTTCTAATGTTTAGAAGTGTATAGTACACTTCAGGTTTTCCAGATTTGCACTGTCCATTCCTGATCAGATGAGTCCCTGTTCAGATCTGATTTGTAGCCTTCTGTTCTATGTAATCACGTAATACATAATCTGGATACAACAAAGAGAATAGTGAAAGCAGATTCTGGTTTAAAGGCTATAGGAAAACATTTGGTCTGAGCCTCCTTAGGGTGTGTCCAAGTATTGGAAAATGCCCAAATGGAGCTCATTTTCGGTTTAGAATGAGATTCAGCCTTTTTAAAAAAATTCAAATCCTCCTGCTGTATTTCTGCATTTACAGTCCAGTTCAAACTCAGTCCTGCTGGGATTACTATTGTTCTATCACACAAGACTCAAGCAGACAAGCACTACCACTCTAAAAACCTTGACTCTCTGAAATTCCTGTTTGAGGAAAATTTCAAACCCTTATAGGGTTACTCACGTAGTGAAGTCTAAATCTTAGTTCAATGGTTTGATTCAGCCTCACGTTGACATGAAAGCAAGTGCAGAAGTCTCACTGGTGAACTGAATTGTTTGAATTTGAGCAGAAAGAGCCCTGAGGTGGTCCCTGTTTGTTTTTTAGGTGCTTTCTTCACAAGTGCAGAGCTGCAAAGTGTCCGGCTCTACCCCTACACCAACAGCCTCCACATCTTTGTGGTTGCAGCAGAAGTCATTTATTTCCTCTTCATTGTGTACTACATGACAGTACAGGTGAGGCTGAGAGCATTATCTTCTGCCTGCTCTTGATTTCACTTACAAAAGCTTTAGGACTGTACTTGATTTCAGTAGTGCTGGTGCTGCTACACCAATGGAAGATGGAATCAGGTACAGTGTCAGTATTAAATAATAGGAATGCAACACCTTATTTGGCTTGGATGCTGTTTTTGAGAAAGATAATAAGAAACTAGTGCAAGATGTAGTTTTATTAATGCAGAGCCCTCTATTGTGGAGGGCATTGTCCTAATGTTCAGAGGTGCATTATATGATATGGAGTCATGAGACTGAAAGAGTAAAACTCCTCTCAGGGAAAGCTCCTGAAGAGTCTGAGATGGAGATACTTCCATAGCAAGTGGAATCTCCTGGAGATGGCCATTATATTGATTAGCTGGAGTGCTCTGTCAGTGTTTGTGAAACGGACAGTCCTTGGGACCCGGGACATCAGCTACTACCAGGAACACAAGGAGGAGTAAGTACTAATGCTCCTTAGTGCATCCTTTGTTGTTGCTAGTTACACAGAAATAAATCTATTTTTTCCTCTTCCCAGATAGACTCTTGACTGTGCTATATATTACTATCCTAGATGGCTATATATTCATGAAGCCTGTAAGTGTATCAGGGCTTAGATTTGTGTCAGCAATAGAATTTTCTTCTGATACTGCTTTAATAAAATCCAGCAAACCTGAGCACCAAGTTCCCTTTTTTTGGCTCCTACTTTCCTGTCTGCATCACCCTCTTGTGAACCTACAAGACTTTCTGCTACAGGACATCCACCCAGAAAGCACACAATCTGCCTTGTTCTTTGATGCAAAAAATCATTGGTTAGAGGACAATAATGGAATGTTTAGTACAGAATGGAAAATTATAGCATCTTTTAAAAATGATCACATGAAAGACGATAGAATCACAGGATAATGAGCAGAATTTGGGCTACAGCCTAGACCTCCTCTCCTTAAAAATCTTAGCCATGCACAACTGAGCTTTTTGTGTGCACACAGTAGGAAGAGCAGGTGGGAACACTCAAGCAGGAACTCAGTAGCTCTCCACTGAAACCCCAGCACAGGGTAACAGGCTTTTCCAGCATACCCATTTATGCACTTCAAAGGATTCTGTGTGCATGGTATATTATGTATTTTCTTTTTTTCCCCCTTACAGCTCCATAAGCTTCAGTGAAACAGCGAGAGCTGATGCAGTTCTTGGCTACCTGATTGCATTCCTGGTGCTTCTCTCCACAGTGAAACTGTGGCATCTGCTGAGGCTCAACCCTAAACTGAACATGATCACTTCAACACTAAGGAGGGCATGGGGTGATATCTCAGGATTCATCACTGTTATTGCAATCATGTTCCTTGCTTACTCCATTGCTGTGAGTACCACGGTGCTTTCTCTTGTGTGCAGTCTGCTTCCAGGTACTGTTGGGTTAAATCAACTATTTCTGAATGCTAAAAGCAACATAGCTTTGCCATGTAAAATGGAATAAAGCTGCCTGTCTAAATCTTAGTTTAGCAGCTTGGAGCCCAAGTCTTCTGTATGCTCTTCTGAAAGAGCAGTTAAAACACCCACTTGTCTGTTCTTTGCAAACTGAAATTTAGTGAAAAAACCAACACTGAGCTGAAAAATAAGGTCTCTCCATGTGTAATAGATGTGACAAAGAACAAAGAACAGGAAAAAGATTTTCTGGCTAAAGCTTATATTGTGGAGCATTCAGAAAGTGCCATTTGCTGTTTGGCTAGTTTGTAAGTGGGAAATAATGATCTTTTTTACATATCTAGTGGCAGGCTGAGCAGATATAAGACATTCTTGTATAAAAAGTCTTCAAGCTAAGCATATTTTGCAGCAAGGACTCCGATCATGACACCAGACATGACTTCTGTCTTCTGCAGGCAAACCTGATATTTGGCTGGAAGCTCTACTCTTACAAAACTCTCTTTGATTCGGCAGAGACCATGGTCAGTCTTCAGCTGGGAATCTTCAACTATGAGGAGGTACCACATCTAATTTTGAGAAGTTTACAACTGTACGATTGGCATCTCAGCTATCAAATATGCTTTGACCCAGCAAATAGAAGGACTTTCAATTAGTGTTAAACATTAATGTAATTTTGCAAGCTCCACATCTCCCTTTTAAAGCAGCCACACTTTTTTCTGAGCAAGAAAAAGACATTAAGTGAAACCTCTTTAATGTCCTATTTTGACCACGAGGAGGCTCACAATGACCCTTTCATTAAGAAACCTGCTCACATTTCAACTAGAGATATTGCTAATTGATTACAAAAGTTTTGAGCAATTTCCTTAGAAAGCTACAGATAGAAATGTGAGCAAAGCCCTGTGTTTGTTCTGAACACCCTCTCTATCTTCCCAAGAAAGGCAAGGCCTTCCACAAGCGAACTTCATGTTAATTTTTTTTTCTTTATATACCACTTTTTCAGTAAGATCTTTCAAATATTTCAATATCCTTTCAACATTATTTGTGGATTAATTCTTGGACATCTCTGACTGCGAAGTCCTCCTTGTTGCATGTTTTTAGGCCATAGATTCAATAGGATATGGGTGGCTTTGAAGATCAGTAATTTGGCACATTTTCACATCTACATCCCACTCATGTTAATAATGAAAATATATTCCTATGTTGTAGCTTGTATGAAAATTAGTGCTTTGATTTTTCACAACGCTTGGTTTTTAAGTGTCTCTGACAGTCTGACTGTGCTTCTTTGTAAAGCATACAGTAAAATAAATGAAATACATACAGAAATTTAATGTATTTTGAAAGCTGAGGCATTAGGAAGCTTCAGTTGTTCTGTGGATAAACAGATCTCCAGGCTTGTCAACTTTCCTGTGAAACTGTCATACCATTACAATCAAATGCAAACACTTAAAAACCCCCAAAGACTGCCCATATTCACACACATATATATATGATATTCTGTTGTCTTTGTACTATATCATATCAACAAAGGACAATACTGGAGCAGAAAATTTATATATCTGTATAATAGATACGTCATAATTGATTACACACAGGATTTTTAAGGTGACAGACTTCTTATGGGGTCTTAACTGCTTGCATGTATATATGAAGGTATATATATGTATGCTTTTTTGCTTTTTTTTTTTATGTCTTACCTTATGCATTATACAGGTCTTGGACTACAATCCAATTTTAGGCTCCTTCTTAATTGGATCCTGCATCATTTTTATGACATTTGTGGTACTGAATCTGTTCGTTTCAGTGATTCTGGTTGCTTTTAGTGAGGAGCAGAAGCATTACCAGGTTTGTTCATCTAAGCTCTCCTGCTTTTAAATTTTTTTGTTCAGTGCTTACTCAGGTATTCAACCATGGATGAAAACCGTGTAAATTCAGTCCAACTCTTAAGAAGGCAACATTTGCTCAGAAAGTACACTTCAGGTTTTCCAGATTTACACTGTCCATTCCTGTTCAGATCTGATTTGTAGCCTTCTGTTCACATACTACATCCATCAAAAAACTCTTAGGCTTGTGCTGGGCTATATTGAAATTAGTGCCAAAACTGCTACTGAAGTACATGAGGCTTTACAACTCCTTTTAAAACTCTCACTGTGAGTTCCTGACCCATTCAAGCTATTGCTAGTGCAGTGTGAAATCTATCTCAGCACTCCATTACTACCCAGAATTTGTCTATGTTTTAAATAAAGTCAAGGGAGATGAAAACAAAGGATATAGGTGATAGAAGACAGGATATAGATTTAGTTTTTCTCATCTACTCCATCTAGCGTCTCATTATGTATATAAGCTGTATGGGAGCTGGCAAGTGCACCGCAGGCTCCTGTAGAGGTTTCCATGGGATTTGACAGCCAAAATTTCTGTAGTGTCCATACTCATCTGGGACTTCTGTCTGGATATAAATATTGGCATTATGTTTTGCTTGGCAGTCACTCATGCTGCCAAGTAAGAGTAGAGATTTTGTCTTGCAACTTGCCCTGGCTTCAGCAGAGACTGAATCCACTTTGGGTGTGCACTTCTGACTTGTTATTATTTCAGGCTTCAGAAGAAGAGGAGATTGTTGATCTAATGCTAATGAAACTCTTCAGTTTCTTCGGGATAAAATGCAAGAAGGAAGAGAAGCCGGTCACTGGCGAACAACTGGAACAACCTGACAGCGAGTGAATGAAGATCACCTTGAAAAGTCGCTTTGCTTGTGGGCAAAGTATTTAATTGTTTGCTATCAGCTGCAGTGGTTAGAGTTAGGTTAGATTATAGGCTTAGGTTATTATAGCTTCTGATTAAAATGAGTTTTTCCGAGGGAATGGCTGGAGCTGTGTCAGAGGAGTTTTGTGTTGATGTCAGGAAAAGGTTCTTCAGGTGTTCGGGCACTGAAAAGGCTCCCCAGGGAATGGGCACGGCCCCAAACCTAAGAGAGCTCATGAAGCATTTGGACAATGTTCTCAGGCACATGTGGGATTGCTGGGGTGTCTCTGCAGGGCCAGGAGTTGGACTTCGATTCCTGTGGGTCCCTTCCAACTCAGCCTATTCCGTGATTCTGGGAAATCATCCCCAAAGTGCTGCTAGCGTGTAATTCTGGAGTAATAGCTAAGAAAGAGCGGTAACGCTGAGGCTAAACATCCCACGTGCACTTGCTGTAGACTGGGCGCGTGTATTTATTTAATAAACACGAGCGGCTGTTGCACTGTTTGGTTAAATCCTCTCGGTCCCTGCCGCGGCGGCGCACGGAACATGGCGGCTCCCTCAGGCCGCCCCGTGCCCGCAGCCGGCGGGGCACGGAACCCATCCCGGGGCGTGGAGCGGAGCCCGGGGCGCAGAGCCCAGCGCAAAGCCGAGCCCGGGCCGCTCCTCAGGACCCGCGGGGCCCCCGGGGTCACCGTTTCGGCCCCGCCCCGCCGCCATCGCCACCTCCCGCCGGCACCGCCCCCGCCCGCCCCCGGCAAAGATGGCGTGGCGGGCGCTGCGGCGGGTCGGGCCGGTGCTGGCGCCGCGCTGCCCGCTCCTCCCGCTGCCGGTGCGGGGGCCCGCGGCCCGCAGGCTGGGCACCAGCTCGCTGCTGCAGTCCGGTGAGTGGCGGCCCGAGGGAGGGAGGCGCGCGGCGGGCGGGCGGGACAGCGGCCCGGTGCTCACGGGAGCCGGCGGTGCCTGGCAGGGTGGGCTGCGGGGGCTCGCCCCGGCCCAGCCCGCGGGGGAACCTCGCCAGCCGGGGCTGGGTACGCGGAGCGGCCGGAGCGCGGGTCCCGCTGGTTCTATCCCTCCGTCCCTCCCGCCGTGCTGTGTCCCGGCGGCCCCGCGATGCTGCAGCCGCCCGGAGACCCCCGGTATCGGCGGGGCCCGGAGAACGTCGCAAAATGGCTGAGCCCCCGAGGGCCCCTCACCTGCCCCCGGGCGCTGCTGGCACTCCTGGCCCCGATCCCACAGGAGCAGCTCCGTTAGTTGGCCAGAAACTTTTAAGCTCCTCTCCACTCTGCAGTTTAGAGCAAAGCGGCTCAGTCCCCCGCTGTTCTCACAAAGTGGATTCGCAGAGCGAACCGAGCGGGCAGCGCACCAAAGTAGCGGATCGCTTTTCCCGGGATTGCCGCTCGCAAGCAGCTGGATGTGGGCTCCAAGGAGCATCAGCAGCACAGGAAGGGGACGGGGTGGGTGAATGGCAGAGGCAGAGCCGCAGCAGGGACCCAGCCAGGCTTGCAGGGCCTTGAGCCGCTCGGGGCTGCACAGGTTTGGCTCTGGCTCCTGTGCAGCCACAGCTGCAGGAGGGCACGGCAGGGGATGCATTCGTGCATCAGTGCATGCTATGATTCTGCATTTGGTGTAGTTAATTCTGAAAGCATCTACTGATGTCAAAGCTCTCTTTGAATAGAAATTACCCATGAAAGTCTGAAAAACAGAATCTGTGGTAGTGTAGCAAACAGAAATGTTTACAAAGTCAATGAGAAGTGGAGGAGACTATGTTGTAAAAGTAATGACTGCCACTAAGAAGAGCTCATCCATTTCTTTAGACAATCTTAAACCTACCTATTTGTCTTCTGCTGCAAGTGAAAGAATTAATATTTATTCTTCATTACTTGCAAACCGAGTCAAGATCTAAGCTTTTTTTCACTATTCTGGCCAATGTATCCATTGTTTTTCTATACACATCACTTGAAGGCATAACAAACAGTGCTTTTGTTTGAGGCAGAGAAGAAAGTTTTGTATGCCTCTTTGTGGAGGTGTGAGTTCACTCTTCGGGAATATGTGAAATATTTAATAGAGGCAGGTTACACTAAGTGAAGGTTCACAGTGTGCTAGTTAAGCTAAAACCAAAATCCTGTTGCAATGAATGAAGTTAGAGTAAATTCAGCTGCTCTTCTGTAAAAGAATGCAGAGAGAGATTTGGTATGCATTGGCATTTCATATTCCTTTAGGTTGATTTATTTAATGGACTGACCACCTAAGCTCAAAGTTCAAATTTTGAGATTACTTATTAACTGTTTTTAATTTGACCTTTACTTTATTTGCACTGTTTTTTTGTTGCATGCTCAGAATTTTAATTTTTCCTTTTTTTTTTTTTGTCCTGCAAGAAAGTTATATGCTCTTCTAACTGTTCAGGACATTTCACTGCTGTATTCCAAACTGGTGTGAAAATCTCCTGTCTTTTTATTAGCCTTGCTTTATAAAAAGATTCTATACAATATTATTATCCTGAGTAAAAATGTTTGGCTCCTTTGTGCTGTGTGTAACATCACTAATGTTCAGCTTGGGTTTGAGATTTGTCAATTGTCGTTCTCCATTCTTACGGTTCATTACTCATTTCCAATAGAATTCCCTTGGGTTTAACATCTTGACCCAAAATGATTTGAGACATTTAATGCTCTGTTCATTTGAGTGTGTCATGAAATTTTTTTGTAGTTATAAGTAGTGCTAGATGAAATTCTATGGATTTTTGACTGATAATCCATGGAAAAATACTTCATATTTACAGTTTACTCATGTTTGTGTATTATACTTGCAAACCCACATATTGTTCTACCGACATCTATAAAACTGGGCCCTGTTCTAAGACAAACTGTTTTATCTGAGGCTTGCTACTCTTGAACTTTTCAGACACGAGAGGATCACTGCAACAGAAGAAGCTTAAAGTATTGACAGTCTGGAAAGCTTTTAGCAGGTCTGCAGTGAGAGCTTCTGTTTTCCTTCTCGTACAATTTTAGAAAATACACAAGGATTTGCAGAAGTTTAGTTTCTCTGGTGTTTGCCTTAAAGAATCCAGCCCACAGGATGAGCTTGAGAGGAGAATTTTTAACTCAAAAGGAAAGTACAGCTGTACTACTCTGGCACTAATCACTCAGGGAGCTGTTTCAGAAGTCACCTTTTCCAGCTTCTACAACATCCCTTGCCTGACTGGATGGGTGCTGCAAGTGGAAAATAAAAATATATATTTCTTTTTAAGTGTTAGAAGTTATCTACAGGGAAATTATGTAGAAGTGAGAAAATGGACATGGCAGGCTGAAAATTGTCAGAGTAAGAAAAGGGCCAGGAAAAATGTTCCTTGTTTCAGTTACTTCTTTTGAAGTTTCTCCACATGACTTCATTTTACAAATTGCCTCTAATAAAGTTGTCTTGAATCTTCCAGATCTGAAATGTAAGGAAAATTGTAACCTTGCTGTGAAAAGACTTAACAAGGTTTTAACAGACCAATTTTAAACTGATACAGAATAACGACTGTGTTCCTCTCACAGTAACAATATTAACAGAGAGCAATTCTATTAAGTTGTGGTTGTCTGTATGAGTTGCCTTATTAATTTGTCCTCTATTAATTTGCTTAATATTACATAGAACTGTGCCATCTTTGCACTTTGAATGAGATGCTGTAATGCTCACAGTGTTTCTAGAGTCACCAACACTGGCCTTCCCAGCCATAATAAAGTAGTTATCAGAAATAAACACTAAATATGTTTGAAAAGCCACTGTGCTATCATAGAAATGTATAACTATGAGTAAAATACACATCTAAGCTTTAGATTTGCACTTCTGTTTGAAGTAGAGCTGCTCCTTTTGCTCCTGTACTTTATCAGTCTCCAGATGGTTGCAGAGGAACTGATAATACTCTGAGCAGAACACCCCAGAGCCTCTGCCCTGTCGCTGAGCATGTTCTATGCTTCTGTAAATTCCTGTGCTGGTTAAAATATTTTGCAAGAAAAATGAACAAAGTCAGTGAAAAGCCCCACAGTTTAAGCCTGCGGATGTGTTACTGTATTTAAGCGAGCAACATGTCACTTTCTGAAATGTTTTGTTTCCTTTTAGCCCGCAAATTCACAGACAAGCACGAATGGGTATCTGTGGAAAATGGCATTGGAACAGTAGGAATCAGTGATTTTGCACAGGTATTGATCCCTCCCCCCCTTGCCCAGGTCTGCAATATTTATTTATGCCTATTTGCTCTGTCCTTGCTCTTTGGACATTTACTGTTCTTTTGTTGTTTTAATTGCATGTCTTTTGGACCTGAGTCTATCCCATTATTTGTGATATTTGTGCCATCTCAGCATTCTAATAAGGTCCTAATAGCTTCAAATTGAGCCTGTGGAGAGCTGAACTTGGTGAGAAATGTCAGTGTTCTAAGCCTGAACAGTTCATGGCTGTGTGAACAGGACATCATGTACGTTTTCAGGTCAAATTTCCTTTGAACACAAATATGGTGAAATCCTTCTGGCTAAAGAACAGTTGTGAACAGATGTACAGCATGGCATATATTTCTTACTCTTGGACAGGAATTCCTTTGGATTTTTTGTTCTCATGCAAGTACTTGATTTGGAATTGTCACAGGCAAATTCTGTGCTGTATGTAAAACTTAAAAAAGAATGGGACAAGCTATCAATAAATGGAATTAATGTTTTTCAGGACAAGCAGAATTTCTTTTAATCTCAAGTTTCTGTCAATAACTAATACCCCGTGAGATCTCTGGCCTTTTGTAAGATAGGGTACATGTGTCAGGGAAGAGTTGAGCCAATTCTTGTGGTGCTAAGGGTCCCAATTAAGTCAGTAAGGACAAACTGTGTGCTAACAGCTCTCTGTAGCTGATGCTGGGAAGAAGTTATTCCTCATTCTACCAGAAGAAATCTGCATATAAACTGAGCCTGAGGTTTATTAGCACTTGGGGCATGATAACACAACAGTTTATTCATATTAAGTGTTTGCTAAGAAAAAAGTGAAAAATACGCAATCTGTAAAGAATGAGAACGATATTTAGACACCAAGAATACTTAAATGCACATTCTAGTGTTACTGCATCAGTCCTCTCCTATGTATAGTTTTGTTAATGTATGTTCTTATGCT